TATGCACTTTTAATATGATTTATTAATAGTGAGACCCTTATTTTTTCCCCAAATCCTGTTTATACATTCCTGATGTATAAGTGATTCATCATTTGATATATTTCTACACGTTTTTTAAAAATTGTTGGTTTTTTTATTGCTATTTGCAAGTGATCCATTCCATTCTACTCCTAGTAGACTAAAAAGAATTTGGTGATATTGGTGATTTAATGGTTTTGGGTTTTTAATTATGAATGTGTGTTGATTGTTGTTTTAATCGAATATTTTATCTGTAGCTAGCTACTAAAGTGACTTTTCTTATCTTGAGATAAAAGTTTCCTCTTTTGTTCCATTAATATGCTGAATTCAATTACTTTTATTTTCCATTGTTAATTCAATCTTGCATTCATAAATTGAACCCATTTTGGTACTGATATTTATTTTACTTGTCGCTAACTTGGCATGTCAATTTTTTGTAATGATTTTTGCATCTGTGGTTCATAATATATTTTATACTACAGTTTTTCTTTCTTGATAGGTTTTATATCAGACTAATGCACTTTCAAAAGAATAAGTTACCCATTTAACTTTTTTATCACCTGTAAGAATTCATGGATATATTAGTATTATTTCTGTCTTAAATATTTGGATATGTTAATTAGCTAGATTAATTATTTCACTTTGGACATAAATAGCAAAATATCAAGTACCTCATAAGTGTATACAGTTAGGATTTGTCAATTAAATGCTATTAATAAAAACAAATGAGAAACGTAGCAATGAAAATAAAATATTTGTAGGAATTCAGTGATAAAGTCATCTAGGCATGTGGATTATTTGTGAAAACCTTTTAAATAATGGATTCAATTTATTCAATAGATCAATGACAAAAGATATTTTCTTCTTGCTTCTCAGTTTGTCTTTTTGTTCAGGAATCATAACATTCCAATGCAGAATGCCCTGAGTTTTGTGTTTTTTAGAACTATTTTGGAATCTTTAGCTACCATGGTAGCAGGAGCACAATAAAGAAGCTGCCACGGATCCAGCTAATACACTTTCTTAACTATCTTACTGGTGAAAGTTATCAGGTGGGTATTTCACTCTCAATTTGAAAACAAAAAAGTTTCACATAGATCCTTTTCATTTAATATCTCTTATCCTTTCATAACACTATGAATTTCATACTATTTTTATTTAGTATGAATATATAGAAATTACTTTTTAACTTTATTAAAAAGAAATAAATAAATGGCTGCTAATAAATGTAGTAAGATAATTGACAGATCTTTACTCAGATTTGAGTATTTGGGATTATTCATGCTATTTTATGTTAAATTTTCAAATTTATGCCTTAAACCAATAATATGCTCATAATAACAGGTAAAACATTGTGGTATCCATGCAACATCCAAATAGTTAAATATTGTCATAACTTATCAGAAATATCATTTTTGAAAAAAAACTATAAATGTCTGTACTCTTGTTATTGTTCTGTCAGTGAATAAAAGTTGAATATTAACTGCATCTAGAAAGAAATCACTGTAACTAAAAATTTACCAGTTTAAGTTTCTTAATATAACAAAAAATTTACCTTATGTTGATTATTCAGGAGTGGTCTTAAAATTTTTAAATATTTTCACCTTTGATTATACAGTGTTTATTAGTAATTTTAAATTAACATATTTTCAATATAAGCTATTTTGTTAATAACAAAAATCAATGTTTTAAGTCAATGTTAATAATTCATATGGAAGAAAGGATCAAATACATACTAGTTTAACAAAAAACATCAAATATAAACTTTATCTTCAAAATCAGTTTTTTTCTTAAAACACATACTAACAAAAGAGCCAAATGCTACATATTTGACTCATTGTGTCATTAATTCTGACCCTAAATGACATCACTATAGTTGATATAAGATGTTGCTTATTTGTTTTCTGTTATTAGCAGAGATCAGATGTTCAGGGAATTCAGAGATCACAGAATTGTAAGTGAGACTCTAGTTAAATATTTAACTATTTAACAGTTCAAATAATCTTAAACGTTTAAATAGTATGATACAGAACTTCTTTTAAAAATTTTTTTTTAGTTCTTACTGGAATTATTTTTATATAACTAGAAACATTTTTAAAATACATAATGTATTTCCATACTAATAACAAGTGATATATTTATTGAAAATGAAGTGATTGGTGGAAGATTATATTTAGCAGAAATAATTTAACTGAGACATGCAGATAATAATTCCATGCATTATTCTTGATCGACTCAATATGTACTTCAGGATAAAGTTATTAATATATAATTTATGTGTTGTGACTTAGACCCAATTTGAGTGATATCAACCTTATAATTAGTTTACTGACTTTAATTCATATATTCACTGCTTTCTCCTCCAGTGAGCCGGACTGAGCCTGGTTTAGACTCGGCCACATTTCTCCTAATACAAGTCAACACCACAACCAGAACTGTATGAAGGAATTCTCAGCACATATAGGGCTTTTTCTGTTGCAAGCATCACTAGTTCACCTGTAGTGGAAGCCAAATCGATATATTGAGCTCAGCACACTAAGGAACAATGGAGAGCTCTGAATCAAAACGGATCAGTAAAAAGAAGATACTGCAGTTGCTTTCCCCTTTCTGCTCTTGTGCCCGAGAACAAAGTCAAGTCAAACAGGAATCTCCTGAAGTGGGAAGGAACCTCTGGAAAGCTAACCGCGCGTCCCGAGAGGAGAACGACATCTTCAGGGAGGACAACAAGTCCCTGTGGAGAGAGAACAAAGCTCTCAGGGGGGAGAGCGAAGCCTTCCGCAGGGACAACAAGTTGATCCGGGAAAGGAACCAGCTCCTGCAGGAGGAAAACCAGGTCCTCTGGGAGCTGAAAAAGACCACTCTGGAGAAACAGAAGTTATCTAGAGAGAATGTCAAGGCCTTGAACACGCAGAGAAAATCCAGTCGGCAACAGAAACGGGCCCGCGAGGCCCAGCTCAAGGCCCTCAAGCAGCAGCAGATCGCCTTCCAGAACGAGGCCAAGGCTCTGGACGAGGAAATGAGGTCTCTGAACCAGGAGATCAGGGCCCTGCACCACCAGAAGAGAGCCATCAACATGGAGGAAGAGGCCCTGGTGAAGGAGGGCATGGCGCTGGGGAAGGAGGAAGAGGCCCTGTGGAAGGAGGAGCGGGCCCTGCGGAAGGAGAACAAGGCTCTGAGAGAGGAGCACAGTGCTCTTCAGGAGGAGGAGAGAGCCCTGCAGGAGGAGGCCCTGCTCCTCCAGTCCTGGTACAGCTTTCTTCAGAAAAGGGAGCTCAAGAGCACAACAATGAAATAGAGCAGAAGGGTGACTTAACGATGTGTCCTGAGAACCTTGAAGATCATTGACCTTCCAGGGGGAAAAAAGGGAATTTGAAGTTAAAATACTGTTGTTGGGATTGGAGAGCAAAGCCCCCAAATTCATAGGGCTCCGTATTTGGTCCTGGAAACAAAATAAAGTCCTTTAAAGAAAAAAAAAAATGAAAATTGTTTTTGTTGACTTAAATTTTAGAATTGTAACGGTGATATAATGCCAAAAATACTCAAAATATGACATCAAATGTAAAAGCTGGGTTTACACTTTATTTTCAGAGACATTGGATGATAACAGGTATCTCTTAAGAGCAAATGTTTGTCTTAAAACATGTTAGAATTATGAATAATCTAGTGAAATTTGCAATTTCTCATGTTTGGTCCACAAGTGCTTTATTGAGAAGTATCTTTTCTGGCTCTTCTTTATATTTATTCTAATAATCTAGTTCAGGAGGCCATAAAACTGGTAAGGATTTAAAATATAGTATAATAGAAAAATGAGTATTTGTAAGTTTATTTTTCCTCTTGTTTATTAGGTTCCTTGTGTTTATTGAGGGGTACAACTCCACTGACTAGATGTATTAATGAGAAAGAAGGAAGTGAGAGAACAAAGTTCTCCAAACTAGAATAAAATTTTAGTTTGAAATGTGAATTCTGTGGAGTATTTTATGTTCAAAGGAAATTGAACAAATTTTGATTCTTAAAAGTATTAATGTTGATAATTCATCGAATCAAGAGCTCATTTAAAAAATACTTTTGCAAAAAGTGAGTCATACAGATTTATTAGAAATACAAATATAGTTTCAGAACATTCGATTAAAACTGTGGAGGATTATTACCATGTTTTTAATCAGTTTAAATTTTGAGCAGAAAGTAAACATTTATGGGGTTTTATTGAATATCCCTGAAACATCTCATTCTGATCCTTGTCTTGTGTTGGGGAATAGAATAGAAGAAAAGTATAGGAAGAGAACCCGTTTGCTTCTATCAGTGCTAGTACCTCTACAATATGTCAAATTAAGTGTATTGATTATCTCTTGTTAGCACTCTATTAATATGGATAACTTTAAGAGTTCCATAGCCTGCAAAGGAAGATTAATAAATACACATTTTACTTCATTTTTTAAAGGGAAATAATCTACTTCATAGTTTACTGACCACTGTTCCACCATATCTGGCGCCAATTAAAATGATTTCGCCTTGGAAAGATTTAAAGTATGGTTTACAACCAACTGTTTGACAAACTTGGAGTCCTAATAGGACAGAGAAATATTTAAAACCTTTTTATCATTGATCATTCCTCAAATGATATTAGCAAAAGACTGCAGGCCAACTTCAGAAATCTAGAAATTTGTGAATATCCTGATCTGTATCCTGAAAATTCATTTTGGTGTGTTACTGTTCACAGAAAAGACCCATTACTCTTGAAATTCCCTACTTTAGGTAGAATTTTTTTTTGGTGGTGAGGTCAGATGCCTTTGAAGTGGGAGGGGTTATGAAGGGCTCCTATCTGTAGGAAAATGGTCATTATTGCATCACAATATAAGCAGCAGTAATTCAGGTTCAAGTGACAGCATAGGACATACTGATCAGAATTTCCGTCTCTCCTCTTTGAACTCAAATGTTAAGTTGGATCAACACTACAAAGAAATTTGGGTTTTTATAAATATTTCAAAGTGAGAAATTAGATAATTAAGAAATGGGTTTAAATGACTTTTGTAAACATAATTCCTTTTTATTCCTATGTTATTTTTCTAATACACATTAATCAAAATCATACTAAAATTTATGTTTATGAAATATCATGTAAAAATATATTTACATGCCACACAATAAGTTGTATACATTTAAATGTATAGTAAAAAGTTTTGTGTATATTGCTAAATAGATATCAATTTTTGAATGAAAAATGGGGACATCTTGTTGCTCACAGTGAAAGAAATTTGTGGTGCATTTACTCTTTTATTATCTATTTCTAAAACTTTATTAAGTGACATTATCAACATTTTGGTTAGGTTTACAGATAGATAAAATCCTTATATAAGTGGTTGTCCATGGAAGCTGTCTATACCCACAAAACAATCAATCCTATTGTTTTATCTTATTTCACTTATAATACTAGCAATCAAGAATGTATGGAAAAAGCAAGACTGTTTCTCTAGAAGAGCTTCTATCATAGGGAAATTACAGTAACATAAAATAGGGAGACACGAGGCACACTATAAAAATGGAAAAACATGCATAATGGAGATTATCAATATTTTTGTGTACAATTGAAAAGAAAAGGCTTCTTTGTGGTATAGGCCTTAGTAAATGAAGGAAGAAGAAGAAAAATAAGACCAGGTAAAGTAGGAGAAGATGTATTTAGGACTGATTAACTTTAGGATAAAAATTATAAGCCTCAATGCTGGGTACATACTTGGGGTACTTGGGAGGTCATTCATAACAGGCAAAGGGATTCATACTGTTTTTTTCTTAGATTAAGTAAACACAAATTAAAATTTGGTTAAAAAAGAGATAACCTTATGTAAGTGAAGCAATATTGCTAAAGAGAAATATATTCCTGAGCCTCTCACTTTTATTATTTCTTTGAATTTCTTATCAATTCATTGATTCAAATATTACTCATTGATGACCTTCCATCTAAATAGCCATGTTAGATGCAGGCTATTTCCAGATACTCAGTGGGAACCAAAGGAGAAAAGTCCCCTTCACTCATAATTTCCTGAAAGAGAGACCATCTGAAGGTCATTTATATCCAAGGGTCCTCACTGACATTGCATTTCCTCAAGGTCAGCAAGTGATCCTTAACTTCAGAAGAATTATATGGGTACTACAAATATCCTCTCAGAAATGATAAACTATTCATCTTCCTTTACAAAACCATGTAAGTTTAAATTTAATTACTAAGCTCCTTTTATTTAAGGCTCCCAGATCTGTACTTCACTTTTATTTGTATTCTACTATGCTCTAAGTATTCTCTAATTTGCCCCAATTCCACATCATTTTCCACCATCTTAGAAAAGTTTTATCAAAACTTCTGCCCTTCAATCTCTTTTCTGAAAGTTCTGTTGGCTGTTTTTCCTGGAGAGGTCTCCGTGGAATCGCCCCATTACTTTACCTTTCTGGTCAGGCTTGTAGAACCCAGGAAAGATGGAGCTATGGTAGATTTCTTCCTTCCTCACAGCATTTCCAAAAACAACTTCCAGCTTCTTCCAACAAAAGTATCAATCTAAAAGGAGCACATGGTATCTGACAGCACTTTTATCCTGTTACTTTCTGCTCAGATTTCTGTTCACTCTGACAATAGCTCCTTCATAATCTGTATCATAGTATACTACTCTACCCCAACACCTTTCATAAGTCTTTGACCTCAAACTGAAAATGGATTATTAGTTCAGAAATGGAACATTTACCTTCTTTGATTTTCTTATTAAAAAAAATAAAATTTCCTCCAGTCACCTCAGCCATTAAACCCAGAGAAAATCATGGTAAGTGAAATAAGCCAGGCCCCCAAAGCCAAAGACTGAATGTTCTTTCTGATATGTGGATGCTAACCCATATTTCTATACTTCCCCTTCTTACATAACAAGGGAAGGTAAGAAGGGGAAGTACAGAAATTCATTGGATTAGACAGGTGAAATGAAGAGAAGGGATGGTGGATGGGAATAGGAAAGACAGTAGAATGAATCTGAGATAATTTTCCTATGTATGAACAGTTTAACTTCACATCATATAAAACCAAGAATAGGATCCAAATTGAAATGGGTTACACTCCATGTATGTATAATGTGTTGAAGCACACCCTACTGTTATGTTTATCTAAAAACAACAAAAATAAATATATATAAAACAGAAACTTTTATGATTGGTAAACATATTGGCTACAAATCCAAACTGTCCCTCTTTTGGAACATTTACTCTATGCTTCTAACATAATTCCCTACTTATCCAATTAATATTCAGCTTAGATTCTGGTTCATTATAATATACTTAAAAATGTTCTTTACCTCTTGATAAACTCTTCATTGCACTAACAACAACAAAAAAATATCTAACCTTGATTCCCTGTAACAACATACCTTGCCTTTCCTGCACCAGAGTAACTGACAGAGTATCTTTGCTATAGCCAACCTCTTAATTTTAGTCATTCTAATAGGTGTGAAGTGGTATCTCATTGTTTTAATTTGTATTCCCCAGATGATTAGTGGTGTTGAACATATTTTGTAAGTATATTATTCATTAGCATACATTTCCTTATGAAGTATCTTTCAGTTATTTTGTTCATTATTTGATATCTTGTTTCTTAACAAGACATTTTAAAAGTTCTTTATGAATTTTTGCCAGTTATATCGTTTGCAGATGTCTCCAATTGGTGTCCTTTCTTTACATTTTCCAACTGTCAGATGTAAAGGGCAGAAGGTTTTGTATGTAATGTCCCATATATTCATTTATAATTTAATGACATCTGATATTAATGTTTACTATATTATTAAAAAATATTCTTTCATTTTGTACCATATACTTTTGTTTTAAAAGTATGTGTTTAAGCAATAGCATTCAACCAGAATCTAAAAACAAATTTTGCTTGTATGTGTATAAATAATGTAACCAAAATCAAGCAATTTATCTTCATTGAACTTCAGTTTGACCAATAATAAGTTAGGGATATAAATTAGCAACATTTTAGTTAAACTTATAAGAGTTTTATAGATATTTTATTTAATCCATTAAATTATATTCTGTAATTAAATACATTTACCATTTACATTTTTTTCAGTAAGTTAAATTGATGCTTTAGAATGGATAAATATTTTGCTCAAATAAAGGGAAGTAAAAGGGGAAATTTTGAGATTTAAATTCAGAGAATAAAAACAAATTCTGATTATTTTTCAAAGATTTCTTGAAATTATTATTTATGATAAAGTGTGAAAACATTTTGTGCTTTGTAAGTTTCATGTTTTACCCAATTGTTTGTAACTATGCATTAGAGTTCATTATATTTCTATACTATTTTAATTATACTTTGTTTTCAAGGTAATTGCAG